TTCTTAACTTAAGGTGTCATTACTCAAACAACATATAACTGAACTTCTCACCGGTGGGCCGTAACGTCATCAAACGTCGAAATTTTTCGTGTGCGCGTTTATAACTTTCCCATTTCAAAATCTCGGAAAACTGCGAAAAATTGAGCAAATCCTTGAAATTTTCCAAATGACGACATAATAGATAGAGAATTAAAAATAATTTATTTTCTACCCCAACCTTATCTTTTTAATACTTTTATTACTCGAATATTCTCTGTTAAAATCCCGATTTTTTGGTCGTGCGCCGTAGGCCTATGCACATTCAAATATAATTCAAATATAATGAAATCCTTATTTTTTAATATAATTTATCAAAAATATTAAAATATACTTGAATATGATAAATAAACATTTGTTGAAAATTTCAGTTTAGTGCTTGCGTTATTTTATTATTATTATTATTTTTATATATATAAAAACGCGATGTCCACGGTTTTACCGGACAAACCTCGTATGTGATAGTCTTCAATGTGGTTGTTATTTTTTATTTATTCCCAGGCTGTAAAATTTTAAAATTTGATTGTAAATCTATTAATTGTTGTTTTGTTTGCATGACTTTTATCTGGATAAATATATAATAATAAATTTAAATGGATCACAATTAACGGAATATTTAATCACGTGACAGGGGGTCGGTGTCAGGAGTTTGACGCTTGGTAAAACAAGGCAAGGTACATGTACGTGTAGCTCGTACTAAAAGAAGATAATTACACGACTTATTCCAAATTTTGATTGATCTGTTTATTACACGAACTAACTTAAGTCAGGTGTTTTTTATTGATTGATTGAAAGGGACAAAGACACATTTACTTTGCCTTCTATTTACAATTTTGAATGTTCCTAATTACATAAATTTTAAAAATGACTTCAGTTCAATGATTTGAACCACCACTGAAAATTCTCAATATTCAATGACAACGGCATTCTTCAAAACCTCACATCAAACACGCGTTTGTAAACTGTTATTGTTTGTATTTACATATACGTTTTACCGGGTGTATTCGATTTGATAACACTACACACATCACTGAATTTGAATAGATAGCACTAGTGTGTTCGTTTTGCTTTCTAACGCTTCTGTTCTGAATTTTCTGTTTCACACTTTAAAAATTTTTAAATTAATGCACTACTGTGACAGATTTCCCTTGTTTCTTAAACTTTTAAATATCAATTAAGAATATTTTAGTTTAAACCATAGTTTATTTGAAAATGACAAGCAGAAAATACAGGGAAGTAGTACAAAAAAAAAATTAAAAAAAAATATTTTGGTATATGACAGTGTAAGGATCATGTATAACATTTAAGCACGTCCGAAATTCATAGTTATATTTTTCAGATGATATTAGTTTCTAAACATGTTTTTATAATATATCAGTTGAACCGTTCTGGAACATGTATATGGAAGTTAAACTTGAACATCCTATCTATGCCCCTTTTATTAAAAGTGTAATGAAATTCAAAAGAGTACAAATCTCGTTTAAACTCCTACAGGAAAGTTGTTTTAAAAAAAGGGGGGGGGGCAGATAATAAAATTTTTGGAGGACACGTTGAATTATCTGCCTTTAAATAATTGAAACAATTGGCAACAAACTGTAGAAAATTTCTTCGCTTAATTACCACCGGAAATACTTTTTTCCCTCGGATGAGTGATAAATGGAGGAATCGACTCTCTTTAAAGATTGACGTTAAACTAATTCTTATAAACAAAACTTTTTAAAAGATCTATAAATTATCTTTAATGCATGGAAGAAATTTTCACTTGGGTATATATACATGTCATTGACCATACAATGTATACGTACATGTACGTTGTAGTTGATACTGCGACAAACTTGAGGAGAGTGTTCTTTAACTAATTATCGTGTACAGAAGTTTGTCCTTTTATTATATGATTCAGCTTAACTTTAAATTGTTCTTTAATTGTAAAACACTTAAACTTTTGCGGGATAATATAGATTTAAATGGATGTTACAATTAACGGAATATAATCACGTGACGGGGGGGGGGGGGGGCGGTGTCATGAATGTCAGGAGTTTGACACTCGGTAAAACAAGATAAGGTACATTTAGCTCCTACTAAATAGAAGATAATTACATGTCTGATTTTCTATTATTCTAAATTTTGATATGCCTGTTTATTAGCTTAAAGGGGCTTGGACACAGCTGCATTGTTTTCAATTTTAAATGTCTATTCAAAAAACAACTTCAATTTAATTATTTGAACTTACATGATATTGAATATTCTAAGAATTCAGTGACGACATTCTTCATATAACATCATGTCAAACACCTGTGTTTGTAAACAGGGCACGAGCTCTGTTATTGTTAGTGTTTACCTTTTGCCGGGTGTGTTCAACTTGTTTAGTCTGCACACATCACTGAGCACGGACTGACAATACTGGTGAGTTGGTTTTGCTTTCTTGCATTTCTACTCAGAACTTTCTGGATTATAGTTTTCATATTTTTTATTGATACAAAACAAAATTTCTACTTTTCTTAAGTATTATGGATAACGTTTACTTTGTGAAAGTGCAAGATATGTGTCAATCAAACGCGTCCCGAAAATCTTAGTTTAATATATATAGTTCGATGTGAAATGCTCTAGCAACATATAAGTCATAATATTATTTAGAAAATAGTCCTCCATATTTTATTATTGGCTTTTGTTTATTTATCTATTTATTTTAATTTTTTTTTTAATTTAATTTTTTTTATTTTAATTTTTTTTTTTTTTTTGAAAGGGACATAAACACACTTGCATTGCATTTATTAATAATTTTGATTTTTCCTATTTATTTAAAAAAGCTTCAGTTCAATGATTATCACTGAAAATGCTCAATATTCGATGACAACGGCATTCTTTAAAACCTCACACCAAACACGTGTTTGTAAACAGTTACTACATATGAGTTTACGTTTTAACGAGTGTATTCGATTTGCTAACACTGCACACATCACTGAACTTGAACAGACAGCGTTGGTGTGCTGATTTTGCTTTCTTACGCTTCTATTCTGACTTTTCAGTTTCACGCTTATAATATTTTTAAATCAATACACATTTTCCATGTTTTTGTTGTTTTTTTTTAAATATTTATTAAGGATGCGTACATTTTAATAGTTTGTGAAAGTGTAAGGATGTACAACATTCAGCTGCACCCGAAATTCGTACTATTTTTAGATAACATTTGTTTTAAATCATGTTTTTGAAATTAAATGTTTGAACCGTTTTAGAACATGTAAGTCGTGAAACTCTATCGAAATTTTTGAAGGATATAAACCTCAACTTTCTATCTATGCCCTTTTAAAAGTATACTGAAATTCATAAGAAAACAATTCTCGTTTAAAAAAAAGATGATGAATTTATTTACGCTGAATGAATATACAAACCATAGCAACAAACACTTAAAGGATTTTTTTTTTAAAGTAGGAAATATGAATTTTGGGGGATGTATTATATATTTTATGAATATAGAAGGATTTTTCAACGATTTAAAACTTGTTTTTTACAAACTGCGGAACTGTAGCTCTCTGCAGGTTGAGCAACCTAGAGAGCTACAGATCCAAGCATTATAAAAACGTTCGATTTTCGTCGCAAGCTTCGGGTATTATTTCTTGTATAATACTAGTATGCAACCCCCCCCCCCCCAAAAAAAAAAAAAAAAACATGGTACAGTGTACCAGTTAATTATCAAGAGTTCCTGTGTGGTCTCAAAAAAATCGCATTCCGACATCCATGTTGGGGCCATGCTAAATAAAACACGCCCCTGTCTTATACACCAGTATCCATTTTCTTTTATATATATATTATATATATATTGTCTTCTTTATAGACAGTAAAAATAATTTATTTGAACCCCCCTCCCCCGGACAATTTTTACAAAGATTTTTGAAATTTCTCGGCATTTGTATTTTCTTCGACCGGCGTATTTTAGCAAGACGCCAACATGGATATCGGAATGCGATTTTTTATTAAACTGACATTGGAATTGTCATTCCAGTTTATGAAACTCGTCTGCTATCTGACCTGAGTAACATAATGTACAAAGTCTGACCACCTACCATTCTCAACCAGAGGGTAGTGGCCTTAGCTCTAAATTCTTAACTTACTTGGTAAAATGCTCAGATTTTCACGTTCAAAAATTAGACTACAAAGTTTTATAAATTTGACCTTTTGTTGAGCTATTTATATCAGTGGACCATTTTCGAATAAACTGATCGCCTAATCTTTGTTTCACAGCACCAAGTTCACACATTTTTAAGTATCTTTGCGCTTATTCACAGACTGTGAAACCGGAAGTGATTCGAATATCAGAAAAAGACCACGAGTAACACAATCTCTACCTAGGTGCACATACAAATCTCAAGTCATATGACTAATAATTGATCATGTGATCAAGTAATGTGTAAAGATCATTTTATCGTGTACTATTGAAAATATTTTTTTTATCGAAAAGAGAGTGTTGTGGGGGAAAGTTTATTATAAGTGTTCGTTTTAGATCGTCAACAATTGAGACGAATCTCACAAACAGACTTAAATCGCAATTAATGCCATGCTCTCCGATCAGGTCTGCGTGTTTTGTTTTTGCTTTTGTTTTGTTTTGTATGACCTTTATTAAATGGCCGCACCTCTGATTAAATTATTTTGTTGACAAAACGTTTGTTATGAAGGTTGAATCTGGCTCATCCTTTGAAAGGATAAATTGTCTACTCATTCGTGCCAAATGAAAAAAAATGAAACGTAGGTTCAACAAAAAAAAACTGATACTGTAATTACTGAGGACCCTCTTTCGCAAGAATGCCCTCTCAAAGCAGACGTTTAAAACAAACTCATTTTCCACTCAGACTGCAAAGTATTCAATTGAAATAATACAAACAAAACATTTACGCTGTACTTTTTAAAGGTTAAAGGCACGATCGATTACAATTGGTCTGATTTGTTGTGATTGAAAGCGCATGTGCCGGGTGGATTCGATTTCACGCTTCCATTCAGAAATTATTAAAGGTCTAACCCACTATCGCTACACAGCACGGAAAATTATCGGACAGGTAGGTGTTCAAAGTTTTTGATCGAATTTTAACTCTTCTGAATCAATTTTTCCATCAATACAATTTACACAGAACATCTTTTAGCTTGAATATAACTTCAGGAAATCAGTTTCTACTTTCACATTGTAAATTGTTGCTTATGTTAGAAAAGAAAAAAAACAATGTAATTTATGTAAAAATGAAAGATGCTATTTTCTTTTGACACCTTGGTTCAATACATGCATATCGACCTAAATCGAATCAAATTTACTACTGTTTTTTTTCCTTAAATGAAATAAGTACATTTTCTGTTTCTGGTTACAATAAAGGTTTTAAGTCGAAGTACAGGTCCTGATATATCACTCTATGGTTGTTTGTAAGAGATTTATAAATACAGTTTAAATTTGATTCTTCGTTTTGTGAATCAAAGTGGGCAGCATGCTTGAAAATGATAAAAGCGACAAATTGTGTTCAAAGTCGAAAATGATTTTAACTTCTGTAAAGTCTAAAATATATTTTAACTGCATAGCCGAATTTCTACCTAGATATAAATCCCAACTTTAATTAATTTGTATCTTATGTTTAGCATATGAATTTCGATTTCTAAGAATGCATATTTAGTAATAAATTTGCAGATTTTTTTCTTAAGAGCACGTTGTTTCTTTTTATAAGTAAAGTTTCATTATTAAAATTTATAAGCATAAAATTTAGTTTGAAGAAATTTTATAATTCAATGACCTACATAATCAAATAAAATCAATTTAAATTTTAAACAAATCTCGAGAAAGCTGGATTAAGACCACTGCATGCATAGGATTATGCGTTAGATTTAAATACCAGGCTCATTTTTAGATCGTGAAATTTGTTTGCTTTCCAAACAGACGTCAAATTAATGATTTTAAAATATTACAGTCTTTAAAAAGATTTTTATACTTCTAAAAGTAGAATGGTTTAAATCGGCTCAGAGGTAACCATGGAATCGAATCTCATGACCGGAAGTGACATCTAATATTCTCTGCAAAAAAGCAACTTCACACATTTTTTTTCGATATTCGATTACGATTATACATATAAACAGGCAAGTAAAAAAGAACATCTCATTAAGATTTTATGACATAACTTTCATTTCAATACTGAGTATTTACAAACTGTTTATAGCGGAGACTCAACGTATTTTTGTAAGGTGTGCAGAAATTGAGTTAAGAAATCTCATTATTAACTACGAAATATTGAAATAAGCCATGTCGACTTGATTAATTCCCGATCAATACGAGAAGTTTGAATTGAGAAGAAACGCATTGCATAATAATGCCAAGTTAATATCAGAAGTGTTGGAATTGTTCTGAATCGTGTTTACAGCGGCTCTTAGACGTCGGTCCACATAAGAAATCTATAGTTGATTATCAAACATAAAAAAAGCTAGAAAAAGACCGATCAATCAAACTTAAAATAAGGAACAACGAAATGAAAAGATAATGCACGGAGTAGTCATTTGTTATGTAACAAATCAAAATAGAAATATGAGTGAAATATTGACACGAAATGAGAGGAATCTACAGGAGCATGTGACTGTGGTAAGGTGGGAGGGGGGGGGGGGGAGGGGGGTCATTGTAATGCAAAATGAGATATTATCCCTTTTATAACCAACTTTTCTAAAAGTTGTCACGGAATAACGTTTACTCCTACTGTACTTTAATCTTCCTTACTTCTTCATGCGGGTTGAATTGTTTTACTGATTTTCCTTTTGTCCGTGTAATTAAGTGTACATATTTTTGCAAATTATATTACACTGTAATTGTAAATACATTTTTATGTGAATAAGCAAAATTAAAAAAAAAAAAGGGGGGGGGCATGATAATATACCTCATTTCTGGGAATCCAGGAGTAATATGAATTCCATACAATATACATGTAATCTACCAAAGTCGTTCTTTTCTTACATAAAACGGTTGATGAATTAAGAAACGATCATTTAGAAATTTGTACATCTGGTTGTTAGAAACAGATGTCAGCAATGACTTGTAATTAACATTTTGAAAACTACCCATAGTCTCACTAATATTAAATTAAATCTAGAAGAGCATTTTCCTATCAGTCTTTTTTTTTTAATTCATCAGATGTACCTACATTGGTTCCAATTCCATAATCCTTTTGTTTTGTTTTGCATGGTATTTTTTAAACTTCTTTCCTAGCCATACACCTTTGCTAGTCAGTGGTTACTTATGAATTTGACAAGTTTTAGGGGGAGACGAGTGGATCGTAACCCCTGGCTTGCAAAGATAACCATGCCTCTGTTATAAGAATATTCGAAAGAATAATTTTAATTGAGGTACATGTATATATGTTACATTAAGTTTTAAAATCAAGTTAATCTATTTATAACTGTTTGTTAAACTTGAACTCGTCTTTGGTGGGGGGGGGGGGGGGTTTCTGTCAGAATGTGTTCATTATTTCCTTCTGTTTGGCACATCTATACCCGTCTCAAAAACGTGAAATAAATGTTGTATATATATTTTTACACTTCCGTAGTTTGCTTTAAAAATCTGAACATCCAGGTTATCGACTTCGAGGACTTTTATTCACTTTCAATAATGCATCATACTCATAAATTTATATATCAGTTTCATTGTCCTTCAAACTCAAATGAGCACAATTAAGTATATCATTATCAATGATTGTTCGTAGTTAATTTATTGGCTATTTTCCTCTACTGAACAGGTAAACAAATCAAATATTAATCAGCATCCATACCCGTAATCCCCTTAACAATACCCCCATGCTTCACTCGTGTCCCCTGCTAAGCTATAAATGACCCACCCGAATCCCTCGTGTACCTGTTATAGGAAAATTTCATGCACTGTACTAGCTTGAACCAACAGTAATTAATGAAAGTGATTTAAATTTGATTATTTAAAGAAAACGGTTGTAAACCGCAGCTTCAACGCATGCTTTTCTTGTTCATGACAATATTCAAAGAGAAATTCGAGCACTTAATGGTCAAGTTTTAGAATGACATCTGAATCGCAAACGAAAACATGTCTCTGTTGTGTACTTGTTTATCTTGCTAAAATCAAATAGGCACTTTAAACTACGGCTTTATATGTGTATTTTTGTGTAAAATTATACGGCAATTGAAAACGATATTAAAGTGTCACAAGTTGCAGAACTCTGACCGACATCTGTTAGTTCTCTCTCTCTCTCTCTCTCTCTCTCTCTCTCTCTCTCTCTCTCTCTCTCTCATTTTTTATAATTTATGATTTTGACCAAAAGAAAAAAAATTAGAAGATATAAAATTTATTATTTATTCAGCTGTCTGTGTGGTATTCTCCTATAAAGCAACCCCATGAATCACCCCCAATTTACATAGGGTGCTTAATAAAACCCACCTTGAAAATACTCATCGTAAGCTCTCGTTAACGGATTATTATGTTTGCAATGATGAAAAATATTTGCATGGATGTATATTTTTTATCCAAAGTGGTTTTAGCTGACTCAGTGGGTAAGACATGCTTTAAGTACCGTTATGTCTACGGACGAGAATAAGAATAAAGAGATCTATTTTATATTGTCTGTAAAAGTACATATCAGTAATCGAACTTTGAGGACACGCTATTTCCCTGACTCTTGCGCATCACTATATGTAAACGTTCAAGACAGGCCAGAGTAGAGACTAGAATGAATAGGGAAATGCACTTTCATTCCGAAAAAAGCTTTATAAATGTATATGGACCCTTTTTATTGTTACAGCATTAATATTATAAGAAAATAATCAGAGAGTGAATTTCTAAAACGAACTAGAGGTAACATGATCATGCAGTCGCAGTTACATGTAGCATGTGCACAAAAAGTATACATGCAGTCGCAGCTGCTTGTAGCATGTGAACAAAAAGTATATCGAAACACGGGTGCTTGTGGATAGGACCCCCCCCTCCTCTCCCCCCCCCCAAAAAAAATACTCCGGGTTCAAGGATACTTTCATAAATTATTCTTCTAGCACACATTTGTAATGTATTCCATATGGAAACGTAAAAGAAAAAATAAACATTTTATCTAAAAAAATCATAGCCGCGGTATTTTATTCGTCATTTTTGGGAATTTCCATATGGGATAATATTCTTGGACTCGGAGTATATATTGGGGGGGGGGGGGGGGGGGTTACATCGAAATAGTATTTGGTGACGTTAGATCATGTGTTATTATCAAGAGATTCGAGTACGTGCAAAAGTACAATATAAGACTTATTAAATATGATATGGATTCATCATCCATTTACATTCATCTATTTTTGGAATAGTATTAACGTCACTGCATTTTCAAGTGTATTCAAACAGCTCGCCCATTTCCATTCTTATGAAAAAATAATAAGTCGACGAGTTTATTGAGACAACATATAGGTGCCGACCTAAGAAGGACTAACAATGTACGATTTAATGGCAGAAAGGTAAATTAAACAACCGTTCAAGATTTATTACCTATCACGGCGCGGATAATATCATGCGACTATTGTGCAAAAAAGTTACTCTCGAAACGCGCAGACCCCCTCTATGTTCCAGAATTTGAAGGTAATCCGCGGGCAATCTGAATTTAAATCATCGTCTTAACTATTTTCAGTATATTTAAATTCTGAGACTTTATTTATGATTTCATATTTGTGATGAGAAATTGCAAAACAGAACTTACAGGATTTTTGACGTACGTGTTGAGGATTAAAGTTTGTCATCTCCAAGGGGGTTCGTGGCTATTTCTTTTCTTCCTTTTTCGTATTTGTGCTTTGTAATTTCTTTTGATCCCCTAACACCATGTAAAATAGTAAACGACTTTATCTAAAGATGTTTAAAATAAGAAAGACCCTTTAGACATTAGAGACCATTTCATATAATTTTTAATTTCATAGAAATTACTTAACATTTATCCTGATTTGCTTCGTTTTCTGTTTTTTTTCCTCTGAAATGGTAAACATTATTACTTTTCATTGAATTTAAATTAATTAGAATTTCTGTCATTATTAAACTTATATTTGATTTCAAAATTAAAGAAAATAAACAGTTAAACTCTTGTCAAATAGTAATAAGGTTTTGTTTTTCTACCTGCATTGATTGTATTGTATTGTTTATTACCAAGAACCATACAGTTCATAGGTTTAAAGTATATACATAAATCAATTTGTACAATATACATGTATAACATTTCATTATCATTTGTACATTAAGTAAAGCAGGATCATAGTAAAGGATCTTACATACTATTCATTCTTGGTTCACAAAGCAAACAAAAGCACCATGATATAAATTAGTCCATAAAGCAGACAAAAGCACCATAATGAAAGTTAACGTTGGTATTAGTAATAGTGAGGATAATCTCGTTATATCAATGTGAGTTAACTTCTGCTCTCAATCTTGTACATTTGTAAAGATATTTTCCTAGTTTACATAACTCTGTTACATTTTTTGTCGACAACAATTGAACACGTTTAAAGGTAGATGGTTTTTGGTGATAATATTTCTTAATATACTCCTTTCTAACATCGGAAAAAAACGGACAAACCAGAATAAAATGATACTCGTCTTCAACTTGTGACATTGAACAAAATTTGCACAATCTTTCTATTCTAGGAATATTAAAAAATCTTCCTCGTTCTATTGATAAACATTTGCTGTACTTAAAGATTTTTCATGATAATTATTGGGAAACAGGTGGTTAACGTAGAATTATAAATAAAATACTTTAGGGCTCTATGTATAGTCAGTAATTTTTAATTCAGCGAGAGTTTACTGGCTTCGACGAAAAGAAATCACACCCAGTCGGGACTTTTATTCCTAATGGAATAATTGTTACATTTCATCAACAATGCGTATTCGCCCTGATATGCATGTTCAATACTTTCAGTCTGGAAAAGAACATTAACCGAGAAAGGACATTTTATGTGTTGTGCTTAAGTGGTCCTGATTTGGAAGACATAATCGGGGATGAATTTTTATTAAGTATGCTTTACCCAGGCTTTCCTTGGAAATTGTCTGAAACCAGGTCGCGTATTTTTTCCTGATGTAATTAATTGTAATTTCACAACAGAATACTGTATGTAAAACATTAAACGAAGTGTTATTGTCTTCAGATAAGAATGCTTTTATTTTGGTATTTTCCCTATATTTTAAATCTGATTTCATCTTTCAATTGTTTTATTTCTTTGGTTAATTTTCTTTACCTATCTTTTATTCATTAGCGATGGCATCAGCTTAATCGTCATACTGAGCAAGATTTTTTTTTTTTTTCACGCCTGCTTGAATGCTTTGCTTGAAATCAATAAATCCTCTACCTTATACAAACAGAAACTGACAATTTTCAATTTCACTAATAGGCCTTATTTCACTATAGAACTGTTCCAACAATCGAAGCGAGTTTAATTCCCCCTAAATCAGTAATATTCCCGCTTGGAACAGTTCATCGCAAGGTCGCAAGGAAATTGGTCTGGTTATGAATAATAAGAAAATCTCACAACAGACTAATAAATTATCTAGCCGTTGATTGGCGCTCCATGTTAAAATATACTCGGATGAACAAGGTCAATGAAATGCTTTGCCAAGACCCACGAGAAATTCGCCATTGCTTAATAGGAATTTCTCGGATTCAAAGTGTTAATAGCTCTCGTCTTCTGTTTAGTTCGTCCCTTTTATTTCTCTTTCATGAAATTTTAATGAAGGGTTCTTACGGGCTTTCGTGTATTGGACAATTGGTTTTGTACTTTAAAAATCCAGACTAAGTCCAATATATCATTTCGCCACAGTTACGTAATTCTTACTGGATTAAGACACATTTGTTACATATTTTAGAGAGTTATTTGTGTTTTATTTTCATGATGGCTAATAAAAAAGGAGACTTTTAGATTGCTTCTTTTCGTGTGCAATAAACGACGCCAAACCATAAGACATGTATTTTGCATAATGAATATACCTTTAGTATTAGAACAGATCAAAAACTTACCAACGTTTTATTTCTTTTCAGAACATAGAACACCTGGATTAGAAATGTAAACAGAAAAACAAATTACTTCTTCAAAATATGACCGTGTGTTTGATGTGAAAACCTAGGGAAGGAAATATGCCAAGTAATAATAAAACGTCCGATAAACAGGAGCATGGAGGAAAAGAGGAAGTGAACGGATTGTTTCCTCCTATTGCCTCTCCACGAAAACATGTACTGAGATCGAATAGCAGCAGCAACGATTCAGACACGCCAGTCGAGGCACCGGAAATTCCACCATTATCATCACGTGATAATAGTCCGTCCAAGTCACCGTGTAAGTTACCAAGTCTTTCCTCACAAAGTAACTCAAATCCGCAAACCAAGGAGAGGAAACATAGGCGGAAAAAGTTATGTCGATCTCCAAGTTGTCCTTCGACAAGACCTGCAACAAATGATCTAGAATCCCCTCTTCCTATTGAAAAACATTTGGTAAATTCAAATCCTAACTCGTATGTGCATGAATATGACGTAAAGTTGCCAAATATCTTTAAAAATGGATCAGACGTGTCACCTGAAACTACAAGTCTTGGATGGACCGTTAAGGACAGGTCAAGAACGAAAGCTAATTTACGCCGTACAGAATCCACACGAGAAAATTATGTTGGAAGTCCTACAATGGAATCAAAGTACAATAAAAATCAACAAAGAGCACATACACATGCGGCACTTCTACTGCCTTTGCGAACACAGGACCCAAGAAAAGCAAGTCAAGGCAAGAAAAAGAAGTCTTTTGCCAACCAAAGTTCTTATACCGAGGGTCAAACCCTTTCTCTTACCATTGACAATGAAACTGGTGCTAGCAATGGCTGGGGAGCGGACTACGATTCAGATTACTACGACAGCAGTGGCAAACATAGTGGTTCATCATTTGATAGAATTATGGAAGAATCTGATTCTCATATGAGTATTCCGAGTGCTGGAGGTTCACACATTAGTGTTCCGAGTGCTAGTAAGCAATGGCTGAAAAACAAAGAAGGTCAGGTCAAAGCATGACCTTTTATAACCTAAAAAGTTTCGATAAACATTATAAGAATCAATGTTTCAAAAACGCATTTTTAAATTGTTACAATCGGGACGTGTGCAAATCAAATTTGGACGTCTGTGATACATTTTATTTTCACACACACAAAATCTGCAATATCAAATATTGCTCAATCGTTTCTTCTTTTGCTATCTTTGTTATTGGCACGTTGGAGCAGTATTATATATTTTTTTGTTTGTTTATATTTATTGATTATGGAATCACCATTGTCACCACTTGTTTATCGGTCGCTAAATATAAATTTGTCAAATACCAATGCTTATGGTATTTGTTTTGGTGTTTAGTCACTGTGTTCGACCTATAAATTTCCTCTCTTATCTTTATACAGTTTTCAATATTCTTTATCTTTTTTAATATATTATATAAAGTTTGATCAATCACCTGCGTTCTCTTTTGATTATTTTCAAGCCCGTGGTTACTCAAGAATTAACAGTTTATGACTTGACTTATACAAATACATCTGTGAGCTGTTAAATTATACAAGTTTAGTAATCAAAATGTGGGAGAAAAATGTGGTTCCTTTAAATCCCTAGTATATATTCCACCCTACTTTTCCCTCTGACATCCAACATTTTGTATAAAATAATATATAGTGTACTCAATTAAGCATTCATTCTCATTTTTTAGGTTCATATCATTGCCCTCTAAAGGCACTAATCAAGTTCCCGATAATGATCGTTATAAAATATCTCGTACACTGCTTTTCAAAGCCCTGCAGGGTTTATATCAGGTTACATTTTATTGATTTCGATATAATAAAATACATTAACTTTCCACAACTGAAAAATAAGGTCTCGTATTCCATCTGACCGATATATGAATTCTTATATATCGTATTACATTGAAAAACCTAAGAGCGTGAAACAAATGCCCAATTTATAGTTTCATGAGTTCAAAGAGAAAATTGAGTAATTTTAATTTCTAGTTACCTTCTATTTCGTGCTCATGCTGTAGATTTAATACAGTTACCTAACTTAGTAGGAGGTCCATATCCCCTTAGTATATACAGCTGTGCAATTTACTTACACCCACTAAGAATTAAATTTGTGGTGGAAATATTTGTTATACAAACATACAACAGAATCAGTTGAGAAATGAAGAAAAAGAAACTGATACCTCTTGTACACCAATATGACAATTATCATGATTAACTTGGAATTGTTGAGAAAAGACGAACAGCAATTATGGCGTTTTATACGTTGTAACCGATACTCTTATTAATATTCAGAATTTGTATGTCGGCTTTATTTGCAATGTGGGCTGAAGAACACGTTGTAAAGATGAAGACAGGTTGGAGCAGACAAACACTCATATATTTTTTAACAACCCAGATCTGCAGTGTCTATTCTGATCTGCGACGTGAACTTTCTTTTCAATATTCATTATGTCGACATTGAATTTATTTAAGAAATGAATTTCATTTTTGAAGATTCATGAGGACATGAACTACGACGCTTCACGCCGGCATATTTCATGAAGCGCGTTAGCGCTTCATGATAAATATGCCGGCGAGAAGCATTGTAGTTCATGTACCTCATGAATTTTCAAAAATGAAATTCATTTCTTATATTTACATTATTTTTTTCCGATGATTTGCCACAAATACCGCCATTCAACTGTCATTTTTAAAGCAAAACAGTTTGCACTATATAGTTTTGACGTCAAGTAAGGTATTATGACGTAACAATGGAGATATTCATGCTCATCCATGGTAGTTCATGAGAAAATGAACTGTATTCTATTTTGTAAAGAATCATAGGGGAAATTTATTGGAAATGTAAATATTCTAATTTGAAAAGATTTTGTGTTGACTCAAAAGGGAAATTGGAGCAAGTTCCGAATGCTTTTAAATTTTCCTCTCTTCATACACACTTTCATAGTTCCCTTTCTAAGGAAGAGATTCCTCAAAATCACATGTCAGTATTAAATACACGTGTTTTCAATATTCCTAAAAACCAAATTGATTTTGAATTACAATACCTTTATTGGATTCAAACTTCGTAAAAATCCTCACAGAGATACACGGTGTGACCAAGCAAATGTCCTACCAAGCCTCCTTCTTTACTCCTCACAAACATATTAACAGCAAGTGAAGGGAAAACTTCAACAGTACTGTGAAACAACACATTCAAGAAGTGGTGTTAATCAAATATGGATAATTAAAACCTCCACCAAACTTTTAGAAAATTTGAAATCACATATTTTTACCAACATTAATAGCATCAAAACGTATGTGACGGTACATATTGTCGTTTTGTACATATTGTCGTCGGCGACAATATGTACCTACCCTCACTGCACATACTGTCGTCCATCGGTGCATATTGTCGCCGGCGACAATATGTACTGAGACGAGCCTTATTTTTCTCCTGCATTATAATGGACGACAAAATGTACAGTCAAGCACCAGCACATATTGTCGTCGGCGACAATATGTACAGTCAAGGTCGGTATATATTGTCGTCGATATATTGTTTTGACGAATTTTTACTTGAGAAAAGAAAGGGAAATTGACAAACATACACACGCACGGAGGGAGACAGTCAGCATTACTCGCAATACTGTAGGGAGAAAACATTTTGGTCAGAAAATTGTGTCCAGGATTGATGTACATCACTATGACATATCAAGATACCGTAATTCTAGAGATATCTGATAAATCAGCTATTCTTTTTTTCTTGTAATATATACTTGGAGATTGAATACAGTTTTTTTTTTTTTTGGGGGGGGGGGTTCAGTAGTAATGATTATTTGGAAATTATTCTTATATACGATCATGTGCCGATATAATATTATAAACATAATTTATTGTTAATAATAATATAAGAATAACGCAAAAAATAACATTTTTAGATCACCTGAACTGGAAGTTCAAGCGAGCTTTACTGATCACATTTTGTCTGACCGTCCGTCTGTCTGTATACTATTCATAATTTTAGCTTCTTTTCAAGAACTACTGGGTCAATTTCAACACATTTTTACCAAAAACAAACAAACAAAAACAAAATCAATTTTGTTCAAGTCATGACCCCAGGGGTAATGTGGGGCCACAATGGGTGATCAAAGTTTTACATAGGAATATATACAGAAAATCTTTAAAAATCTTCTCAAACACCAAAGACCCAGACAGATGTAGCCCCCCCCCCCACCCCTTGCTTGGTGGTTTGATTTTTTTTTGTGCTTTGGTAAATTCTGTTTGTTTAACTTGTATATACTTAGTCCACAGGTAAAATTTCATAATTAAATAATTAACTTAACATATACAATAACACTGATGGACGACAATATGCGCATTGAGGGAAGGTACACATTGTCGTCGGCGACAATATGAACAGGACGACAAAATGTACCGTCACAATCACGCTGCAAGAAATAGCATACAAGACACGTCAGTGTGATTCTCACACCAATTACATTCACAAAACTACCAAAAAACAGCAAAAAACACCTTTAAACAACAATATCTGTGGGGCGACAATATGTACAGTGAGGGTGAGGCACATAATGTCGCCAGCGACAATATGTACATATGTAACTTTTCAGTCGGCGACAATATGTACAGATGGACGACAATATGTGCAGTGAGGGTAGGTACATATTGTCGCCGACGACAATATGTACAAAACGACAAATTGTACCGTCACAACGTATGTCTTTTCAACACTTTATACAACCATTCCCTACAATAAAAACGCCCCGGCTTTTTGACATCATAGACAAGTGCCATTTTTTTATTTTAATAAGAATAGATCTCGCAAACTTTTCTACCTTCTTATTGGTCATCTGCAGACTTACTTTGTCAAAAACCATTCTGATTCTTCACACAAGTACTCTGAAGATGATGATAAAAGGTGCTTGGGTTTCTCAGTGACAAAATCTATGTATATAGTCTTTGGAGACCAGGTATTCAAACAATCCGTTGGGGTTCCTATGGATCCTAATTATTACCATTATTAGCAGACCTGTTTTTGTATTCTTATGAAGCAGAATTTATTCAAAACACCACTTCTACATGAAAAGAAGAAGTCTTTTGCCGTGGCCCTCAATTCGACATTTACATAAATTAATGAGGTTTTGTCCATTAACAATACATTTTATTATTTTGATAAATTCGTTGATTCGATATATCTCAATGAACTCAAAATAAAGAACATCACGAAGTCTGACACAACTGCTTCAAATTTTGATTTTTTACTAGAGAATGACAGTAAGTTTGGTGGCAAACTAACAACAAAACTTTATGATAAATGTGATGACTTGAACACTTCCCTTATTTTATGTAGCAAAAATATACCATTTCCACCTAGAATATGGGGTTTATGTCTCTAGTTGACTCGATACCAAGAGCCTGATCTTCGTACGAACAATATCTAAAACGAGGCATGGTACTGACAAACAAGCTGATGACACAAGGGTATATAGAATCTCGTTTGAAGTCAACATCGAAAATCTATGGTCGATACGGTGAACTTGTTTGCAAATACAATCTGTTGTTAGGTCGAATGATAACTGATGTCTTTAATGTAAATTGCTAGGACATTGTTTTCATACTGAATTTACTACGAATTTCTCCGTTTTCCCGAAAATGACAAAGAACATACGGCGGATGTGAACGTCGACAAGGGAAGCTAACTCCTCCATGGCACCTGATTCCACCTCTGTTTTTAGAGCCCCGTGTTTGCTCTGTTCGCAATTCGTATTGTTTTAATGGACTTTTGAGCATGATTACTGTTTGTTATCTGCATATTTCACAATAACTGTTTGCTATCTGCATATTTAACAATAACCCTATGAAAAAAAGGTTATCATTCCTGATAAATCTAAGCAAATACATGTAGTAAATTTTAGTGAATCGTGAGATATCAAATCTGACACATTTCCTCATACAAAGAAAAGCCATAGATATAAATTTTCTTATTCCACAAAAATATCAAAAAACTTTTGGTGAAGTGATAGGTCAATCCTTTCCCACAAAGCGAGAACGCGAAGAACAATGACGAGAGAGAGGGGGAGGGGGTAGAGAGAGTATGCCACATGCGAGCGAGAAAGTGGGAGAGATAACACAATAGTGCAGGCGACAATGCACCGGAGAAAGTGAGGGCGATAACATGAGAGAGCAAGCTACAATGCCAGCGAGAAAAGTGGGCCTGATAACACGAGACAGCAAGCGACAACAAACGGGAGAACGAGAGAGCAAGCAACAATGCGGCGGAGAAAGTGAGGGCGATATCATGAGAGAGCAAGCGAAATTACGAGCGAGAATTTGAGTGTGATAAAATGAGAGAGAAACGACAATGCACTCGAGAGAGTAAAGGCAATAACACTAGAGAGCAAGCCATAATGCTCGGGAGAAAGAGAGTGCGATATCTCAAAATGCAAA